TTTCACTGGCGTTGGCCAATTAAGCGCATCAAGTGATTGTTGAAATTTCCTAACCGAATGTCAATTAGAAATAATCATGAGATTTCCATAAAATGGTAATTGAAAATATTTAATTGAAATATTTGAAATATATTTAAGGTAATTATTAACAAACTTTTTCAATTTATCTTTCATGTCTTCCCAAAGTACATCCACACTTTGTTGCAAAAACACGTCCAAATGAGTGACCACATGGCCAGCACCATTGCTCTTAGATTTTATGCTATGCAGAAGATTCGCAAGTTGAATATATGGATTAAGGGCTTTGTGAGGCGATCTTTCAATTAACTGTTTCGTCCGTGCACTTCAAAAATTAGTAGGTCTTAACAATGAGTTAACTTTTTAGAATTAATAGGGGTAGGTAGGTAACTAAAAATACCTCAATTCTTCGGCGACAACTAACACTTTGAGATACTGCTTTGATCTTAATAGGCTGTCAATCTGTTGTTGCAGCATGGTTAACTCATCCATTAGTGTCTTATTATTTGAAACGTTTTCTTGTAAATTCGATGGATTGGAAGAAGTCACGTTATTACAATAATCAGTTAATACATCTTCAAGTTCTAGACGTGTGGCTTGAAGATCCTCAAGTTCTGTGACTGTGGAGTTGAAGGCTTGAAGAGATTGCTTGAGTATTTCTGAAGTTTTAGACTGTGTTTTAATATACTATAAAGAAAATCCAGATTTCATTAGAATGGCGAAGGTACATTAAAGATTTAGTAAGCACACCTTTTCATTCAATTTCTGTTCATTATTTTTTACTTCGGACAGTACTGTATTCAACTTCCCAAGATCTTCCAGCTCATTAAAGCGAGAATTGAGAAAATCGACAACATGATTCGCGATTGAATTTTCATCGGGTTCCTTAATAAGCGATTCAAGCTCTAATGTTGCCATTTCTATCGTATTACGGGAACGTGTATGATTGACCGATGTAAATCAATTTTTTTTGACGGTCATTTGTTAGATTCTACTCGAACTATCGATTCTGGCCAATCAGGATCTACCAATCAGATAAATAAAAATTAGAAAGATATAGGGGGTCGTTTAAAGCAGGGTGCAATCATGTGACATGTGGCCAATCGGCTTGTTTGTTTTGATCAACACGGATCAGCCCGACGAAGAAAAAAAGACAAAAAAAAGTGAAAAAATGAAAAAATACAAGAAACGAGTTCATAGGAAGAAATTCATATGATTGGCTAATTTTTATGGATCTACATGTGATCACCCGTGATAATTAACCAATC